AAAAAAAAATTCATTTTAGGGGACAATTTCCATGTAAAAAATGTCAAACGAATACTAAACTTTCATGAAAAATGATTTTCTTGGAAATATGTTTTTTTTGTTTTTTTTAAAAACTTTTTAGCAATGGAAAAAAGTATCACTTTAATGGACAATTTCTATATAAAACAAAGTCAAACGAATACAAAAATATCCAAAATTTTAAAATTTTTCATGTGGAAAATTATACCAGTCAAACACATTTAATTAACAATTCCATGAAAACAAATTCTAGGCAATTATTTTCTCTGGAATTCATTTTCTTTCCACCAATTTTTCACAATTATAATCAAACAGACCCTAAATGTTGGGAGACTATATATGCACGTAATGTACCCCGTAAAAGAAGCAATAGAATAATTGCAATGAAGTCTAATCTAGAGAAGATAACAAACTAATTACTGAACAATGTATCAAAAGATTAAAACATATATAAATGATACACAACATTCTATATAGCCTCAGACAAATCCATTTCTAGAGCATGTGAATTGAAGCACAGATGGTTGCACCCAGATTCTTAGCCATGTTTGAAGTGTACAATCATAGTCAAACTATGAAAACTTAACAGACATTCTGGATTTCAAGCGGATATTCTATAAGGTACGAATGGCTTCAAAAGAGCCTTTCTAACTTCATTGACCAAACATGCCCTAAAGGGTATGTACTATGTTATATGAGATACTCCGACTTTCAAGTGCAATACGTTTGACATCAAAGTTAAAATGTAACAATTAGGCCTTGTTTGATTTGCTTTATTTTCCATGGAACTCGAAATTTCATTTTCCTTTCCAGCCAAATGAGGTATTTGATGTGCAAAATTCTGCGGGCAAAACATTTTCTTGGGGAGAGGCCTCTTTTTCTTGATTTTGGGGAATTCATTTTCCCACATTTTTGGTGCGAAAATGATTTTCTAGGCGGCTGGTTCCATTTTTTTTTTTTTTTTGGACAATGGTAACAAATGTCATAACCAATTGTAAAAACAATTTCACTTTAATGGACAATTTTCATATAAAATAAAGTCAAACCAAGACTAAACTTTGATGAAAAATGATTTTTTAGGAAACAATTTTTTTTTTTTCATTTTTGTTTTTTTACTTTTTGGTAATGGAAACAAATTTTATAATTAATTGTGAAAAAAATTATCATTTTAATGGACAATTTTCATATAAAACAAAGCCAAACGGACATAAACTTTTAAAATTTTTCGGGTGGAAAATTATACCAATCAAACACACTTAATTAACAATTCCCTGCAAAATAATTTTTAGACAATTATTTTCCCTATAATTCATTTTCTTTCCACCAATTTTTCACTATTGCAATCAAACAGACCCTTAGTCATCTTGTCTATAGCCACCCACTTAGAATACACAATCCTTTTGGATTTATCACATGATCTCAGTAGATCTATCAGGACATCCCTCAAATATAAAATTAAGTTTTTTCACATTAAGCACAAACATTGAATTCCGTTTCTAATGTTTATGAGTAATGCTACATGTAGTTGATTCTCATGTAATGTGACATTATGAAATTGATCTCCTACCCCTAGTGGATAGGATAAAAACTTCCTAGGAGATCAGGGCTGTATGATATTAAATAATAATATTAATAAAGTAAGTCTCATATTCAATGTTTCGTGCGATTTGAAATTTAGGCCCTCGACCTTACCAACGGAGAGCTAGGAGTATTGATACAATTAAGAGTTTGTTACATAAAAGCTGCACCTACTCAATGTATGGTCCATTGCAATTTCAATATAGCATAAGAAACCTTTGTGTCTCCAGTTAACATTAAAAAAAATGTCAATAACAAGAACAATAATTCTCCTACTTTTTTTTTTCCTCTAACCATAAAGGTACACTTTGCTTTTTTTAATGACCTTCCAACAAGGAGCCATAGTGTTGTTTCAATGATTAAAGAACGACCATGTAATGTTGAATAAACATCATATAATGCGCCTTAGTACCACAATATCCTATCGTGTTTTTGAGGTTATCTTATGAATAAACCTAGTTAGTGGAAATAATATTTTAATCTAAATCAATCATGTTTTTGAGGCCCAATATTTTCATTAAAAAACTTTATTGCAATACAGTCCTTCTAGTCTAAATTTTTAGAGCAAATAATAAGGGTACTTGGGGACATTGGATTTAAGAACATCTAATATTTGGACTTCGGCAATGAGCCCGTATTGACAAAGAATCTATTCTAAATATACCGTCGAAGTCTGCACTGAAATAACAGTCATAATTTCAAGCACCTATTATGTTGCCAACGCATAAATATGGCAAGATTCAATACTCATGTTTGCTCATCTTGTAAAATATCCAAATTTTCTAAATACGTCGAGGATGGGAGGGTTGGGGAGCCAACGACATCGACCGTCCCAAATTGACAGTTAGCCACTATTACACTCGACTCTTTTTGAACTTATTTTAAAAATTTCAGAAACCTCATATTAGACTGATTTTTGGGCAGTTATCACATTTTTCTTATAAAAATGCACTACTTTTGAATTGCACTAAGGTTTCATAACCTTCTTAAGTTTTTCTTAA